TTAGCATCACCTAGAATGCTCTCTTGAGTACTCCCTTGACTGCAGAGTTGGGCTAGTCATTCTATCCCAATTCCTGGACAAAGAACTAAAACTGTGTACTGTATTTGGTTACATACAGTGGATAACAAGTGGCCACCTAACAAGCAGACAAAGTGGTGCAGCCTGTTCCAAATTCTGTCCTCTCTCACTTTATCCTGGTCTACTCTTACTCATTTACATTAGACAAAAAAACCTGGAATTTAATAAGGATAGGAACTTCCAAGTATCTGCTAAAATTACCTGGATGCATGAATAATTTAGGAAGACTGTTCATTGCCAAATGGACATGATTGAAGTCAGTTTGGGGAAGCAAAACAATTTTAAAATGTCAATCTAAAAGTATGAGATAAAGTTAAGGTATAGATTCCCATCTAAAGGTCACATGGTGAATATGTAATGTTTTTATTTTCTCAGTGGCATACATCTTCTTTTGAGGAGTAATTGTCCACATGGGTGGCAGTTTCATCCAAGTAGGAATCACTGGCCCAAAGAGGACCACTGCTAATTCATATTGTAACCTTCTTTGTAAAATATTGAAAATAATGCTGATTCCTTAAAAAAAAAATTTTCTTTCCATCCCTCAGAAAATTATCATAATATACAGATTTGGGTAGACTAACTCATTTCACTGCCACCTGCTGGGAAACGATGGTATATCAATGTATGGCTTTTCTATTGAAAGAAAGGTACAACTTTAACAGCAGTTTTACACCCTGCAGACACAGTCCACTTTTAGTTGCAAAGTTGTGAAGATATAAGCCTCAACTTACCAGTAATTGAGGTTCAACTGGGAATCAATGGCTTATTCCACAAAAGGAGGAATGAGATTTATAGAGAAAATAATACTCTAATAGTCCTAGGTTTCTGGCTCCAGTCCTACATGTAAATATTTCTATCCTTACATTTTTTGTTGATTGGAGCAAAAGTTTGGTTTCTGTCACATGGATAAAAGCCTCACAACTAACATACAGTGAAGGTTGTTTTAGTCTATTTGGCTAAAACAAAACACTATAGGCTTATAACAACAGAAACTTGTTTCTCACAGGAATGGGGGCTGAAAGTCCAAGATCAAGGTGCTGGAAGACCTGGTGTCTAGTGTGGACTTGGCTTCTCCCAGAAGGAAGTCTTCTCACTGTAACCTTAAATTATGAAAGTGGAGAGCAAGTTCTCCAGGGTCTCTTCTATAACAGCAGTAATCCATTTGTGAAATCTCCTAGCTCAGGACCTAATCACTTTCCAAAAGCCCCACCTCCTAATGCCATCACCATTGTGGCTAAGATTCAACTTAATAAGTTTGGGGAGAGAAAAACATTCAGCCTTATGTAGCAGAGATTCGGTAAAATGAACTGACTACAGTTGGGAAAGAGGGTAGGAAGAGATACTCTGAGGTAATCATTTTATTACCTTTTTGTTCTTGCTGGGACAATGTCTTGCTAGACCTAGTGGCATATCTACTCCCTAGCATAAATTCTTGCCCAGAGTATCCATCTGCAAATATCTGTTGAGTTGAATTGATTTCAAAACACAGAGAGAAAACATTTCATTCACTCATTTTTTCCCAAATATTTATTGAGTAGCTATTCTTTATAAGATACAGCTCTATTTACTTAGGATACTACAACGAATATTTGTATTTCAAATTTCAGACCACATTTATTATATTTTTACCAATGTGTATCTATACTATATACCTATTTTGCCTATAGCAGTTGATATATAAAAAGGAAATGCTCCCCACATAAATGAAAATAATTCAGCAAAATGTGGGTTCTAATTTTCACTGTGGTACTAACTCTCCATCTGTTGTGCTCTAGATGTCAACATTAGCTATGCCATTTAACTTCCCAAACTATCGGTTTTCTCATCTATAACATAAACACATTTGCTTATGTGATCCAAAAAGCTTATTCTAGCTAAAGAGAGACTTAGGTTTTACTCTCCCAAACCAATAATTTTCAAAGTGTGGTTGCCTACCAGCAGTCTGGAAACTTGATGGTGTGAAAATTTCAAACTCAACCCCAGGCCCACTGAATCAATCAGACGCCATGGGAGTGGGGACCAAGAATCTGTTTTGAGGAAGATCTGATATATACTGAGTTTGAAAAGCACTGCAAGGATATCTTCAGTACATTTAATAGTCAATGTATATGTACAGAACTTTTCTAATCTCTCAAATCACCAAGAGTTTGTTCTCTCATAGACTTCCATGTCTTTAAATTCCCCACTTCCACACCCTTAGGGAAAAATTATTATGATCAAAACAAAAGCTTTTTTTTATTCTTCATGTTTTCATATATGTCTAATGACTTTATTGGATCTTAGAAACAAAAATAAGTTCATGTAAAAGAGAAAGTCTCCAGTAAGAGTCATTTTGTGTTATACAGATCATTCTTTTCAGGATCAATGAGAGATATTTTGATAATAACAGTTAGTGCCAAAAAAAAAAAAATGAGAGGAAGTTGGGGGGGATATTTTTTTGCTCATTTTGATTTTAAAATTGCATCATTGTGACCGGATTTTCTTCTGAAGGTTAATTCTTAGGGATCAATGGTAACACACAAATTTGAGAATATCAATAAGGGTTGCAACAGAAGAAACAACTACTAGATAATCTTTTTTAATTATCCAGTTCTTCCTATACAAAATTAGGAACTGATAAATAAATAGAAAGAATAAAATTCAGAGTAAACAATTACTTCACTAAATAAGTAATTTCCTTCATTTAGAAATCTGTTATCCTGTCTCAGTTTATAATGTGGTTTGGGTGTATATTCATTTGCAGCTACCACTAGTTCATAAACACATTTATGGAGAAATTCATTAGAAATTTTATTAGGTGTCACTTTTGCTATGTGGTTCCTATAATTTGACTCTAAAACAACAAATATATACTGATGTCTAGCAAATCTAGGATGAACTAAAGGAATGAAAGATTTTTCTATAAGGGCGATACAAAAAGAAGGAGAAGATATATTTAATTATATTCATGTACCCTTTTTATTCCAACCCTATTTTCTTTGATGTTTTAACTTCTTATAATTGTATCTTTAAAGTTTTTTTTTTTTTTATGTAGGCTAACTTTAAGCAATCTTTACTGACTGTAAGATCATGGTAGATGCAGATACCATTGCTGAAATTCTACTAGCTTCCTCAGTTTGGGCCTAGATGCCAATTTTGATTTTTCTTTTCAGTTGACTTGATAGTGTATGTAGATATAGATAGATGATAAACATCAGTCAAGAATAAACTGTAATTAGGTGTGAATGTTGTCTTTTAGTGTAATATTGATGATTTGATTTTGAGCCAGAGTAATTTGGTTCATTATTAGTATTGGATATCATAGGAGAACAGATTTATAAAGAACATCTTTACAAATTTATAAAAACATCTTTATAAAGAACCCAAGGAAATACAGAAAGTTAAAGAAAACTTATTCACTTTACATTAGAGAACTCAGGCATATTGCTTTTTTAACACACCCAAATATCTCTTTCCTCCTTTCCAATTAGCTTACTTCACACTGGCTCTATTATTCTTTTATTATTTCAATTCTATTTTAATATTATCTACTTTC